ACAACTGCCGAAACGAAGAGGGCCAGGTTCTTCAAGAGAAAGAAGCTGACGTACCACACCACCTTGAAAACCGCACTGCCCACTTTGCGTCTGTTCCCTCTGTTTGTTCCCGGCCTGCTTTGGCGAGGTGGTCCAGTTGGCACACGGGATGCACTGCAGAACATCTGCATCTGCACGCGCGTGGCCTTCAGTGCAGCTCGTGCACCTCGACGCGGTTTCAAGGAGTGACGCCCTCGATGCCTTCGCTTCTTTTATACTATACATACTTCTCTCTTTCTTTCTTCCCTTTTGCGGTCTTTCCATTCTTTCCCTTCTCCCCTCCCTCCTCCACCTCAACCTCGTCATGCAAACCCTTTTTTCCTCCCTCCCCTTCCTTCTCCATCCCTCCCTGACTGATGAAATCCTGCTCCGACGGCGCTCCTGGCGGGCCAAGATGAATGAAAACTCCACCTCCGAACTGGGTCCCTGTTAACGAGTTCGATTTAAGTTGCGAGCACCCTAATAAGGAAGCCACATAATTTACAATAGATCCCGCTTTTGGTAGCATAGCGGGGTTCAAACTGACGAGACAGCGCTCGAGTCTAACCCTGCAGGCTTCAGGGACTGTCTCTTTCTCCCTCTCTCTCCTCTCTCGCTGTGACTTCTGCGGGCGCAAGTTTGTACCAAGGGTCCCGGGGCCACGATAGCCCTCTTCACACATGGGCGCCAGCTCCTGCCAGCACAAACCATGACACTTGATCCCCTCATAGTCCCCGGTGTCTGCAAGGATTTTGCAATGTTCTCGCGATGGCTGCGGTGCGTCCAAAGCATCCTGTTGCTTGAAGCTGTGTGCCCAAGCCCGCTCCCCAGGAGGCCCTCCGACCGCCTGAGAGGCATTCACCTCCAACCCCGGGCCCCGTCCTGCGCGCGCGCCCCGGGGACGCTGCTGGCATTGAAGTGTCCGCCGCGGCAGGCCTCAGCTAATCACGGCTCACTCACGGCTCACTACGTCGGAGGCGAAGCAAACCTCTTCACGGGTCATCTGACATAGAAGTTCAAAGTTCAAGTGCAAGGGGCCATCTCATTGGGGCACCGATACCAGGCAGAGAGATCGGCGGCCACGTCGCGATCGAACTCCACCTCTGCGAGAGCTGGAGTCATCGAACAGCGGTTATAGAGTTGAGCTGAAGGATCGGTGCTATAGCCCAAGGCCCGGACCATGTAGCCGGGTGGCACGCGCAGCTCCGTGGATGTGCAGCCAATGGTGACGTTTCCCATGTTGGGGCACGGAGTGCAGCGGGCATCTTCCTGCACAACACAGCAAGCTAAGAGACATCCCGCGGCTGGGATGCAGACGCGAATAGACATGCGGCAGTGAAAAGCGAAAAGGGACAAGCTTTGGAAGCTCCAGCAGCACACAGTTTTACCTTCTACCTGTTGTATTATATATATACTCTCTCTCTATATATATATGCATACATATATATATTTATATATATATGAGCGTTGATCAATATTCCTGTTTCCGGAAATGGTTTCTTCGCGGATTATTGCTTTCCTTTCGCAGGACTTTCGCCCTCACTTTCGCGCGACATGTTTGAGGTGGTGGTAGTAGTAGTAGTAGTCGTCGTCGTCGTTGTCGTCGTCGTAGTCGCAGTCGTAGTAGTCGCCGTCGTCGTCGTCGTCGTAGTCGTCGTCGTAGTAGTGGTAGTAGTAGTAGCAGTAGT